ACTGACCAGCAGAAAAGGCCACCGAGAAAGGCCACAGCCAACAACAACAACAACAGCAGCAGCAGTGGTCAGGTGGTAAAGAACAACAACAGGAATGGCAAGTAGCAGTAGTAGTTCCCTCCTTGCTCACCCCCACGTACAATCAGCACCCTAGAAATATATACTATGTGTACAACTCACCTCCCATAACCCCACTAACACCCACTTCATCATCATCACCACCACCACCGTCTCACGCAACAAACACAGATAGCACAAGTAACATGCTTTATTTCGCAGTAGTGAAAGCAATAAATTATTTGCATTGAATAAGTATTATTGTATCCCATTGATGATGATCATTTCTTTACTTGTTTGCTCATCACTTCCCCGTGTCTTCCGTCCTTGGTTAATCGATCAATTGAGTGTGGGTTGGGAGTGATCCGCTTGCCCTACCGACCGACCGTTTAGTGGCCCCGTCGGTCGACCTCGCGTCTTCGCGGCGCCGCCTTGATGATGTCATCCACGCGGAGGATCATCTCGGCGGCCTCCGAGGCGGAGAGCAGCACCTGCCGCTTCACCACAAACGGCTCGGTGATGCCCAGGTCGACCATGTCGGCCGTCTTGCCCACGTTCATGTCCAGCCCGTAGGTGTTCTTGCCCTCCGAGTGGTAGGCGCGCAGCTCCGAGATGAGCTGGGCGCTGTCGTAGCCGCCGTTGTCGGCGATGATCGTCGGCAGCTGGCGGAGGGCCTTCGCGAAGGCCTCAATCGCAAAGGACTCCTTGCCGGGCGTCTTCTCCGCCAGCGCGGAGACCGCATTCGACATGAGCATCTCGCCGGCGCCGCCGCCGTAGATGACGCGCGTGTCCTTCACCGTCTGCGTGAGGACGCAGAGGGCGTCGTGCAGTGACCGCTCCGCCTCGTCCAGAATCTGCTGCGTGGCGCCGCGAATCACCACGGTGCAGGCCTCGCCCAGCGGCACGCCGGAGAACTTCATCACCTTGTCGTCGCCGATCATGATCTCCTCAATCAGATCGCACTTGCCCAGGCGGACCTGAATGAATGAAGGAAAATTATGATAAGAATGAGCTCAAAGTGAAACATTGTACAACACAATAGTACCTTATCAGGATTACCAAAGGTGGAAACAATCTCTCCGCCGGTGACCAGCGCGAGGCGCTCAATGCCGTCAAAGTCGGCGTGCTCAATGGCCATCACGCCGGCGTCGGCAAAGAGCTGCTCGGGGTAGTTGTAGATGAGCTGACGGTTGATGAAGACGTTGATGTTGTGCTTCAGAATCAGGTCCACCTTGTCCTTCATCTTCTCCTTCTCGGCCAGCTCCAGGTCGGCCACCTTGGCCACCGAGTCCACCTTGACGCGGGAGCCGAATACTTTGATTTTATCAGTGTCCATCGGAGTATTGGCGATGAGGATGCGAGCATTCTCGATGCGCTTCGGCTGGTTCACACCGGGGCGCTTGTTAAGTAGAAAGCCCTGCTCGAGGTACGAGTCATTGAGCGTGGCGCCGAGCTTCTTCATGATTTGAATGGCGTTCAGATCGCCGGAGCCCTTCAGTCTGAGCACCGCGTCGACGGCCAACTTCGCAAAGGCGTCCTTGTGCTGCGACAGAATCTTGGAGCTCAGCGTGGTGCGAGCAATGTTCATCAGATCACTGCGAAACTTTTCGTTGTCCTTGCTGTGATCGACGGCCACCTTCTCCAGGGCGGCGCGGGCCACATCGACGGCCTTTCGCCAGCCAGAGATGATCGTCTGTGGGTGGATCTTCAGGTCGATCAGCTTCTCCGCCTCCTTCAGTAGTTCAGCTGCCAGGACGGTGACAGAGGTGGTGCCGTCTCCGACCTCCTCATCTTGAGTCTGCAAAAGAGGGCAAAGAGTGTTAAATGTATTGAATGATGAAAACAAAGCCGTGCGCGTCAAAACACCTACCTTTGAGATGTCAACGAGCACCTTGCTGGCGGGGTTGTCCACGCCGATGGCCCGCAGAATGGTGGCCCCGTCGTTGGTCACCTCGATCTTGCCCTCATTTCGGCCCTCGTAGAGGAGCACCTTGTCCATGCCCTTCGGGCCGAGGGTGGTCTTCACCAGCTCGCCGATGGCGATGGCGCCGATGAAGCTGGAAAGCCGGGCGGTCTCGGCCTTCTCCTCGTCGGCATCACCGCGGAGAATGTTCACCGGATTGAGGGATCTACTCTGAATGTTCAACATGATGACGGCGGTGGGGATCAAAGAGTGGTGCTACGACGATTGACTAANTCGATCTTGCCCTCATTTCGGCCCTCGTAGAGGAGCACCTTGTCCATGCCCTTCGGGCCGAGGGTGGTCTTCACCAGCTCGCCGATGGCGATGGCGCCGATGAAGCTGGAAAGCCGGGCGGTCTCGGCCTTCTCCTCGTCGGCATCACCGCGGAGAATGTTCACCGGATTGAGGGATCTACTCTGAATGTTCAACATGATGACGGCGGTGGGGATCAAAGAGTGGTGCTACGACGATTGACTAATGCAATGACAACAACAACTTATCAAATCAGACAAAGACGATGCGAAGAATCGAGAACAACGTGCTTTTGAAGCGGCTGCAATCTCTCTCCACTCCCCGTTTATTGTCATGCAGAGCGCATGTGAGGGCCGATCGCAGAAGACGACTTTTGCACGCAGCAACGAAGACGTCCTCTGCGAACGGTCTCCGGAACAGCAACATCATCAGCGTGCTTTCTCTGCTTCTGCTGCTGCTGTCTTTTCTGCAGGCGCTTGCTTTGCCGTCTTTTCTGTGTTTTGCCCGATTCTCTCCGATCGCCCCCGGAACTCCCCCGACAAAAAATGGCGCAAGTGGTGAACACCTCCACCGACCTGAACTGGCTGCTGACGCGGAACAGCTCCTCGCACCTGCTGAAGCGCCGCGGCGTGAGCCACTTCTTCAGCACCGATCCGCTGAACCCGAAGGGCCTGCACAAGCCGCGCTTCCAGGGCACCATCCAGAAGCGCGCCCTCACCGTGCAGGAGAACGCCTCCGGCAAGGGCATCACCCTGGTGTACAAGAACAAGCGCAACCAGAACAAGCCCGCCAAGGCCATCTCCCGCGTGCCGCTGAACCGCGGCGCCAGCCGGGCGCTGAAGAACATCAAACAGCTCGTCAACAAGCAGAACTACCGCAGTGACCTGAAGAACGTAAGTGTTTCGTTTACTTGGGAGTTTGACTTTGTGCTTTGATTCTATTCTAAACATCTCCTTTCCCATCATTCAGGTCACCCTGAGACGCGCCAGCGCTCTGCTTCGCGGCCAGCGCATCAAGAACTCCAAGAAGACCCGCACGACCAAGGCCAAGAAGGAGTAAGGATGCTGCCTTTCCAACTGTTATAAATTCGCGCAGTGTACTAAACTAAAAAACAATAATAACAGCAACAACACCAGCAAGTTTTGCAAACTAAACTGACTACGT